AGGATTTTAGTCCAGCAGTGATCTCTAATTGTACTTGGAGTTCCTCCTGCCACACCCCCAGGATAATTAAGTATTGTATTTTCTTTCTTATGATAGTACCATTTAAGTATTCTTGACTCCCTGACCCCAGCCAATCAAACACATTCACCCTTGAAATCCCTCCCTCTGCCCAATGTTTATATTGCCCTTGATTTCACATGAACAAAGATTCACACTTTCTCAATTCAAGACTACCTGAGATTCATCATTTATTCTCCACTGGGTCCCATCTCACTGGGCCTGCCCCTTGCTGGGACTAGCTTGGCCTGGGCCTTGCTGGGTTTGGGCCTCGAAGGCCTCTGTCTTGACTGCAAGTTGTCCAGGCATGGGTTTTAGACTGTACCTCTGCCGTGCTCAGCACAGCAGCTTGACCAAGAGCTGTAACACATTGATATTACCATTGACTTTGGAACGTCCAAGCTTCCATTGCCACCAGTGACCTCCTGCTGAAGGAGCTGAATTGTAACATTCTATGGAAAATCTTTTCCATACCCCAGCTTAGAGCACTCAGGCCTCACCATAAGGCACTCCAGCTGCCTCTGAGAAAAAATGGAACCCTTGTTCTCTATCTGGAAGCCAAACTCCAGGACCCCAGCCAAGGTCCAGGCCCCGGCAAATGGAGAACAGCAACCACAGACCTTGCTAAGTGATGTACACTCTTCATGTGACCAAGGTCTCCTGTGGTCACTCCTGCTTCATGGTGGTGCTGCTCATGTCAATAGTGCAGGAAACAACTATACCACATTCCTTAAAAAAAGAATTTATAAGAAAACTTGGTCCAATAACCTTGAATGCTAATAATAAATTTGTCAGTGTATCATTTAAGTGTGACATATATGTCCTCTTATTATTTTAAAATTCATTAGATTAAAAATATAAAGCTTGTGCTGTTTGTAATAAGTGAACAGTAGAGAGATCTATGAAGGACAATGATCACTATTCTATACCCAGTGACATACTTGCTAGGCAACCAATGACAAAAATTCGATATACATCTTTCCACTTCATTCTCTTTGTCTGCACAAACACACAAAGACATGTATGGCACCTGTCACAGTGGCATACACCTGTTATTCCAGCACTCAAGAGGCTGAAGTAGGAGGAGCTTGAATTTGAGACCAGACTGGGCTACACAGTGAGATCCTGTTTCAAAACAATAAACAAAAATGTATAAATCATATAAAATTGTTTTATGTTCCTATTACAAACATTAGTCTGAAAGTTTCTTATTTTCTTTTTGCTTAACACTTTTTTTACATTTCTTATAAGTACGTCCATAGGTTTTGCTCACTTTTAATAATAACATAAAAGTCTGTAAGTATTAGTCTTTTCCATATGGAAAAGTATTCAGACTTTGTCCTATATCTTCCTCAACCCTACTCCCTTGGGATAGGAACCTAGGGATTACCCTTGCCTTCATTTTACTTTTCTTTTGGAACACAGTCTCACAAGTTGATCAGATTGGCTTTGTACTCACTCAGCAGCTCAGGCAGACCATGAACATTTTTTTTTCTTTTTAAGATTTATTTTATTTTTGAAATTGTTATTTCTTTTTACTTTTTGATATTACAATATAATTCTACCATTTCCCCCTTCCCTTTCCTCCCTCCAAACCCGCCCATATTCCCTCTCCTGGCTATCTTTAAAATTCATGGTCTCCTCTTTTTTTCATTAATTGTTGTTACATATGTATATTATATATGTAATATATATATATAATATGTATATTATAAACATATATATTCCTAAATGCATAAATAAGTCTCACCAACACAACTGTCTAAACATGAGCTGGACAAGGGCAAACAGCAATAGACATGCTAACGTGGACAGGGGAAAGCCCCAAAAGCCTCAGTCATATGCAGGGAACTGCAGGCAACTACAGATGCTGACAGTGGGAGAATAATCTTCTTCAGGGGAAAACACACCAATTGATTATCAAATATCACATGGTAGCCCTGAAAATGTACCTACAAGTAGGGAGAGACTAAAAGATAAATTAGCAGCTATTATTAAGACCTGAAGTAGGTACGTAAAGAAGTCTAGTAATGCCCTGAGAAGAAGAGCCACCTCACTGCATTCTTTCCCCACCCACTAGAGATACAGTTGCTAGAAAACTGGACCATCCCCCTAGGGAGGGACACCAGGTCATTAATGGTCTGGGAACCTTCCTATAGCCAATTGATTCAAAATGTAGCATTTTAACCAATAGATGCTTGACAGGCAGGAATCTCCCCTGCCTTGGGCATGCTGGGATGGACCAGAATCTTTAAATAACCCAACTAACCTGGGCACACATGCTCGGCTCCCACCGCTTCGGCGGTGGGTGTATGTGGGCCCAAGCTGCAGCTTGTAAATTAAAATAAAAAAAAAGCCTCATGTATTTACAGCAGAGTCTAGTTATTCCTGGTCTTTTGGTGTTCGTGAACTGGGCAGAACAGTAGCAGGCCTTAAACTTGCAATCATCTTGCCAAGCCTCCCAAAGTGGCTGGGGTTATAGGTAGGCAGCCTAGCCACAGCCCTGTTTTTGGCTTTAATTCACTACAAATGCTGTCATCAGTATTGATCTGTAGCTACATATAAACCTGTAGTGATGCATTTATTTCTGTGGGACAAAATTGTCAACATTTCCAGATCAAAGGCAATGGGATAATAAATATACTGTTGATTATAATTATTCCTTTCCCAGATACTTCAGTGGTTTATGCTTTCACTGTTAGATCTATTATTAAAAGATGAGTCTGGTAACCGATCTTCTATGCAAGAGGTTTATTAGGTGGATATGGGAGAGGGGGGTAAGGGAGAGCAGGACATGATGGGGAGAAAGGGGGGGCACCCCGAGAGAGAGGGAGGGCAAGAGAGATCGAGAGAAAGAGAGCTATCACATGTCGGATTGTCCGTTTAAGGGGCAAGGTAACCACACCTTCCAGGTGTGGCCACCTGGCCCAGGACAGATGATGACATCATAAGTTGCTAGGTAATGCAGAAGCAGGTTTTGTTCCAAAATACTAACATTCACCCTCAAGTCCTTAGCATCACCAGTTGTTAGTCAACCTGTGTTTTTATCTTACTTTATTTTATTTTTTAAGACAGGGTCTCAGCACACAGCCTTGGCTGCCCTAGAATGCACACACGCAGGTAGCCTCTGTTTCCTCAGTGCTGGGATTAAAAGTGTGCACCACCACACCAAGCTTGCACTCATTTTATTTGTTGTCAGCCTGAGAAATAAAAATAAAACTATGTTATGTTCCTGTTTTCAATTATCTCATTTTCTCTTGTTACTCTTAGCAGAAAGGCCAAAATATTCTACCTGGTCCAAAGCAGCTCTTGGTCTCTGAGCCTATATTCCCTGCAGGAGGTTTATCTGCTAATAGGCAGGCTTTCTGAACTTATGAAAAAGTGATGGCTTGAGAATTCATGATACCATATTGAGTTGTTTGCCAGTATAAGCTTATAGGGAACTTTGCCTTTTAAAATGTGACTAATTTATGCCTAATAGGAATAATTAATTGTTTCTATTCTATTTGCCTTGGTGCAAATGTTTTCCAATTTCTTCAGGCTGTTCAGTGAAACTCCAAACTTTAGTAAATATGGAAGCAGAGGATTCTTTAAGAAAAAAACAAAGCATGTTAGGGCGACACCCAAGCTTCCAGAAAAGAGGCAGATCTGGTTGTAAATGTGTGTGGCGGGTTGCATCTCTTGTTTTTAAGTTGGCGTTTTCAAGTAGAAGATGTCTTTAATGTGTTGGTTTGCGGAACAGGAAATCTGATTTTTCCATGTGATAACAGTCTTTGACATTAACCAGTATAGTTGGATTTTTAATGATACTTTCATCTTCAAAGCCCTTTACTAGCACAGATGGATTAATTATTCATTTGTCTGGGGGGCGGGGAATGAGTGTTAAAAAGACAAACCTTCAAAGCCATATTCTTTTTCCTTGGGATTGGGATTCTCTGCTTTTCAAATGTTGTTTTCCAGTCCTCAAGGGAGGAAGTAAACACAAAGATGAATAAATGGGAAAGTAATTTATGCTATGGGAAGAGATCGTTATATCCTGAGTGGGATTAGAAGAGTTGGGAGGCAGGACTAACGCTGTGTTTACAGTAAGCTAAGAAACTATGCTAAAAGCGTTTGTTACTGTTCAGGCTTTTGATCTGTTTTTACAGAGCAGCAGAAACATAAAGATACGTCAGAACACAGTATACGGGCCCTTATATTTGATGCTAAAGTACATAGATTTTGTTCTTGTTACCTTCAAAAAGTGTCTAATTTGTTTCTTAAAAGATTTGATATCACAGAAGAAAATTTTGGGCTTCCCCGGAGGCCCAAGAAGGACTTGACACGTCTTCTAACCACAAGAGAGCAGTCTTCCCTTTGATGAGCGCTTCTTCACCACCACCGCAGAAATGAAAGAGCAAGGGTATGTTTGCAAACACCCTGAAAGCTCTTTCCATCAGACCTGTACGCCGGAAACCACAAAGGCCACTTACGTTTGGAGTTTCAAGGAGAAAGCCGGGGTAAGCTTTCGCTCTGTCAGCCATCCGATCTGCAAGTGCCTGGGAAGGGCTGTGCTCGATTCCTGAACAAGATCCGGCTCCCCTGAGAGTCACACTTGCTGACCCAGGAGTGAATTACAGCAACTGGGCAACTTCGAAAGATTCATCGGTTTAGGGTGAGATGTCTATTCAAGCTTGGCACCCTTTGTTAACTCTTGAACCAAACGTGGATACGTCTTTGCCCCCTCTGGTGTGAGGCTTTATAAAGATGGGAGAAGAGTAACGAGCTTCGGAAATCAAGCAAAGTTCCCTCCAAGTGTATTTACGTACCTAGCTTCTGGACCTAGAAACTTCTCCAAAGACAGACTGGGAAGTCTGGATGGACCAGCCTCTTGGCCAAGAAAGCTTCAAGTCTTCCTGCTGAGAGAGTCATCTCTGGGTGATCTGCGCGCTTTTCGGTGGAGGATGGAAAAACGCAAACCGGCGGGATTGCTGGCCCTGCCGTCCCCACATTGTACCGCTCCGCTGGGTGCGCTGCCCTGTAGGGAGCCCTGTAGGGTCCCCGCGAGCCACAGTGCCGCCGACTGCCCGGGAAGTCGGTTGTGCCGGTCCCTGCCGCCGGGGGGTGTGGGCGAGCCTTCCTTTCTGTGCCAACGCAACGAGCGCGAGCGGCAGCGAGTGCGCTGCGTGAATGAAGGCTATGCTCACCTTCGCCAGCACCTGCCACGCGAGCTGGCCGGCCAGCGGCTCAGCAAGGTGGAGACGCTGCGTGCCGCCATCAGCTACATCAAACACCTGCAGGAGCTGCTGAAATGCCACAGGCCGGACTGCAACAGCGATGGCGAGTCCAAAGCGTCCTCAGGGGCATCGCCTTGCAGCGAGCCGGAGGAACACAGCTAGCAGCACGTTGGCCCACCAGGCTATCATGGTAACTGGCTTCTACTCTGGGCCCAAATCTTAAGAAAAAGAATTAAGTGCTTCTGGATGGGGGAAAAAAAAGTTGTTTTAATGTTTGGTGGTTTTGGGTTATTTATTTATTTATTTTTAACTTTATTTTTCGCCCTGCACCTTCTTTGGTTCTGAGCTTCTAACTTACAAATGCTTAAGGAAACTCATTTCTTGTACTTCTAACGCACAGAAGGACCGTCCTAAATCTATGAGGCAATTTTAAAAACACGAAGGTCTGTAACAAACGTCAGCCAGAGAAGAAACCACCCACTGTACGCAGATGCACGCACGCACACAGGGCAGCGCTGTATGTGAGAGGAACATTCTCACTCACTCCTCCCCTTTGGGAAAGGTGCTGGACATTTCATCAACACTGCACTGTGGATGAAGGTGGCCGAGATGATACTCTATTACACATTTGTGGAGCATCGGCTGAACCTGAACACAGGCCTGAATCACTGTGCTAAAAAGGGCAATGCTTGACACATACTGCTTTATCTGCAAGAAGTTTGGAAACTTTAGCAGGTAATAAAGTGTCACAAATGTTAACGATCTTTTTGGAGGAGATCTGGACGTTCATCTTCGCTACCAGGTTCTGCCTACTGTCTCTCTTGTCCTTTTCTTTGTTTGTACCTCTGTAGAGTTCTCATCCCGTCTAAATTTTGGTTAGGGGGGAAAAAAGCAAACATCCTCAGTGCCTTTTGGTGTTTGAGCTGAATGGGGAGAGGTGTGGACAATGGAGTTGAAATGAACTTGCTGCATGTCCAAGCCATTTTTCTTTGAAGGCTTTCCAGACTATTGAATATTTACCTATGCCCTGTGCCTCCCCAAAACAGTTATGAAGCATAGAAATTGCTTTCTAAAGTCTGTGCCCCCACTCACCCACACCTTCTGAGGTGCTGGGAGTTTTATGCTAGGCACTTCTTCTAATAGAGTGAATTATCCTTTCTTTAGAGGTAGCTTGGGCTAAGAGGGGCGGAGTTGAGTTGGTGAGCACTGTCCAGGCACCATCTCACGCAATCCCTTACTGCATGCCCCTTTTCCTTGCTAGAACTTTGGCTATTGATTTTTCAATTCTGTCTTATTTAATTCTCAGATATTTGTGGAATGGATATTACACATATATTGTGCTTTAAATAAAAGTGTGTCATGGTGGAAACTTGTACTTCAGCTGGGCATGGTGGTGCACACCTTTAATCCCAGCATTTCAGAGGTAGAGGCAGGAGGGTCTCTCTAAATTCAAGGCCAGACAGGTCTACATAGCCAATTCCACCCAGGCAGGGTCTTCACTTCCACATGTGCACTGTGGTGCTTGTGCCCAGTTATGTGAATTACATGATAAAGCTCTGTCAAAACACAACAACAACAAAACACTTTTTTAAAGACATGAGGTGGGGGACACTGGAGAGATGGTCCAGTAGTTAAGAGTGCTTGCTGCTCTTGCTAAGGACCTGAGTTTGGTTCCCAGCACCCCCATGTAGCATCAGTAACTTTAGTTCCATAAGATTGGCTATCCCTTTATTGACTCCATGAACACTACACACACAGTGCTCTTACATAATACCAGCAAAGCACTTACCTAAAATAAAAATAAACCTTAAAAAAAAAAGGAAGTGAAAGTGCCTTTGAGCAAGTCATTGTTGCCAGGACTGGCTGAGCTGCATCCTTAGTCTGCCTCACTCCTAGTCCCGCTCCCTTGCTTTGTTATTTGCTAACCAAACGTCCCAGAGATGTTCTTTTTATCTTCTCCTTTACTGTTTCACAGGAGATGTGGAGGTGCAGGGCTTAGTGGTCTGTGAGGTACAAATGGTAAGGCAGTAGTGTTGTTTGGAGAAAGTCTTGTACTGTTTTTTGAATTGTGTGTAAAGCCAGGAATACCGTCTGGGTGGAGGTGATGAAATAGCCTGAGTGTTTCTAAAGGGTACAGTGACCATCTTATTTTAGGGTTTGACCTTCTGTGCTTCTAGAAGACAGGACTTGATCCCTAGTATGTCGGATCTGAAAGACTCCCGTTGAGCCTCTCTAGATGGGGAGACCCCGCTTCCC